AAGTCTAAAAGCAAGATGTCAGCAGAATTGTTATCCTTCTGGAGGCTTCAGGGAAGAATCTGCTTTTTTGCCTTTTTCAGCTTCCCATGGCTGCCTGTATTCCTCGGCTCGTGGCCCCTTCCTCCATGTTTAAAGCACACACTCCAATCCCTTACTTCATCATCACATCCTCTCCTCTTCTGCAGTCAAATCTCCCCCTGCCACCTTTCTTTAATGGACACTTGAAATTACATTTAAGGCCCACTCTGATAACCCGAGGTAATCTCCCCATGTAGGATCATTGACTTAATCACTTGCACAGAGCCCCCTTTGCCATATTAGGTAACATTTAATCTAATCACAGTTTCCTGTGATTAGAACCTGGGTATCTTCAGGGACCATTAGTAAGCCTACCACGGTCATATTCAAAATAGATTTGTGCAATGATTTAGTAGGTCTGGGATATGTTCCACACATTTGCCTTTTTAATAAGAGATCAGAAGAAGGTGACCCTCAGTTTGCACCCATACAATGCTTTAAAGAGGGGTTTGTTGGAGAACTAAATGTACAGAGAGCCTTCCATTTGGTCCCTATAAGGAGAGCTTCCATGGGCAATTGCTGTGTGTCCTGTGTCTGTGTTGCACACATTTTTCTGCAGGGTCACTTGATTTAAATGTCTTTTAAAGTAAGATGCTGAAATAATAATAATTGTTTATATGCAATAACAATTTATTGTGTACAAGGATCTTTTCTCCATCCTCTGGGGAGGGGAGAAGAGCTAGATATGGAGTTAATAATTGATCATGCCTGCATGATGGAGCCTTCATAAGAATTCCTAAGCTATGGGATTTGAAGAGCTTCCAGTTTGGTGAACACATCCACATGCTGAGAGGGTGGTACACCCCAACTCCACAGGGGCAGAACCCTTCTAGATCTCACTTCATCTGCATGTTCATTTATATCCTTTATAATATCCCTTATCATAAAACTTGTAAATGTAAATGAAGTGTTTCCTTGAATTCTGTGAGCCATTATAGCAAATTATTGAACCTGCGGAGGGAGCTGTGGCGAGCCTCAATTTGCTGCCGAGTCAGACAGAAGTGTGGGTAACTGGGTAACTACTTGCGACTGGCATCAGAAGTGGAGGACAGTCTTGTGGAACTGAGCTCTTTACCTGTGGGATCTGTGCAAACTCCAGGTAGTTAGTGCCGAAATGGAATTAAATTTTAGGACACCTAGTCGATGTCTACAGAGAATTGGAAAATTGCTTGGTGTGGAAAATGCACACGTTTGGTGTCAGAAGCATTTTAAGTAGAGAAACACAATTTTCCTTTAGTATTTAAGATTCACTTAAAGCCTTCTGAAGAGGCATAATCCTAAGACAAAAAGAATATGGGCTTTGGGGAGACACAAAGCTAGGAGTGAATCCTGCTCCCCACTTATTTGGTGACATTTGAGACTTAGTTGCTTTAACTATAAAACAGACACAAAAATTCCTACTTTACAGAGTTTCATTGAGAATTATTGATAATGTATTTTTTGGGAAATGGCTTTAACCTCCTCCCCATAAGCACAAACTTAGCACCTTAAAACAGCAAATTTACTATCTCACGGTTCTGTGAGTCAGCAGTCTGGACGCAGCTCGGTTGCATCCTCTGTGAGGCTGCAGTCAAGGTCAACCAGGACTAGGTTCTCATCATCTAAAGGCTCAACCAGGGAAGGATGCACTTCCAAGCACACACAGTCATTAGAATTCAGTTCTTCTGACCCAATGGCTGAGGCCTTCCCCAGTGGAGCCTTCAGATGAGAGCCCATCCCTGGACAGTGCCTTGTTTTGCAGCTTTGCAGAGGCCCCAGTTAAACTGTGGTCCCAACCCACAGAAACTGTGAGATAATAAATGTTTTCTAAGCTACTAGGCTGTGCTGATATTGTTACACGACAATAGATAATGAACACAATATCCATGAATCCTCCATGAAGTTACTTCGTGAAGGGTGCTGCTGTGAAAAATGGTTTTAGGACTTGTCCCCTAGCAGTGACCACCAGACAGATGACCGCTCTGGAGCCCCACCACCTGGAGCAGCTATTATGACCTTGATCTTCTGCAGACCCACCTGTGACAGACTGCTAATGTACCTCGAGCCAGGAAGACAGTGCATCCCTGGATGCCATCACTCTGCCAGTGGCCAGCCTGAAGCCTCTGAGGGTCCTATTTGTGTTTGAAGCCCTCACAGCAGGCAACATGGGTATAAAGAAACTTGCCTGAAGGACACAAGAAATTCCCAATGATCTGGAAGTTTGTAACTTTGCTGAAGTTTATAGTAATAATCAGAATATGATAGTATGTGTGCATTTGATTCTACAGTTTCACTTATTAACTCATTTAGTAAATACATATTTGGTCCAACCATGTGCCAGGAACCGGTCTAGCCCCTGGAGACATGACAGTGGAGAAAGATGAGATTCCTACACTTATGAGACATCATGTTTATGCAGACTTCTTTAACTCTGTGAAATAGGCAAAACAGCCATTAAAAAAAAAGCAAAAACTTTTATTGTTAAAATACCAAAAATACAGAAAATGATGCAAGACAAATACGTAACTTAATACATTATTAAAAGGCAAATGCCCTATTTTGGTCTGTTTTGTGTTGCTACAACGGAATGCCATAGACTGGGTAATTTATAAGGAAAAGAAATGTGTTTATCATATTTCTGGGGTCTGGGAAGTCCAATGACAAGGTGTCGGATGTGGCAAGGGCCTTCCTGCTGCCTTATCCCACGGTTGAAGGTAAGAGGGTGAGGGAGAGAGGAAGGGGGCTGAACTCATCCTTCTATCAGGAACCCACTCCTGTGAAAACTAACCCAATCCCATAATAACAGTATTAATCTGTTCATGAGATCAGAGACCTCATGATTTAATTACCTCTTAAAGACGTCACCTCTCAACACTGTTGCATTGGGGATTAAATTTCCAATGCACGAACTTGGGGGAACATATTCAAACCAAAAAAGCATGTCTTTTTTAAGAACAAACATTAAAATAGAAAGACAAAATCTTGCTAGCTATACCAGGAGCCCTCCAAGTGCCCCTCCCAACTCTCCCACTCTCAGAATAACCACTCTCCTGATTTTATGATAATCACCTCTGTACCTTGCTTTGTAATTTTTTTTTTTTTACCATTGTACATTCCTAAATACTATAGTATAGCTCTACCTGTTTTTGTTTGTTTGTTTAATATGTCTTTGGGGTCTCTTTTAATGCAGAGATTCTTCCTCCAACGTCCATCCCTCCCTGACCTTTCAAGTTTGTTTCTTGTGAAAACTGGATCATTTGTCTTGCAGAGTTTACTCAATTGAAATTTTGTCGATTGCATTCCTGTGGTAAAGTTTAATGTTTCCCTCAGTCTTCTGTATTTCCTGCCAACTGCTGGTAGATTATAGAGGCTTAATCATTTTTAGTTTTGAGCTTTATGAGAAACTACTACTTCATGGGTGGTGTCATAGTCTTTGGACATAATATCTTTTTGTGTTGTCAGCAGCTATTTCTGCTCAATGCTTAGATTTTTAAATTTTTAGGGGTTAAATAATGGTGATATTCCAATTTCATCATGTCATCATTTATTGGTTTGTACAGAGAAACATCTGCCATGTGATCACACAGTGGTTCAGTTTTTATAGAAAAGGAAGGATGAATGCTAAAGTTTTTTCCTTTATTTATGAATTTTCAAAGAAAGGAGGTAGTTTATTCTTTCAAAGGTGCCAGGATGCTATGCATCATCATCATTATATATATATATATGAAGAAACTATGTTTCATATACAGATTTGCTCAGAAATCATACCTTCCAGCTCCCAAACTCTATGTACTTTGTATCTCACCAAGATGGTGAAAAGATTGGGAAAGTAAATTAAATGTTGAAAAAATACACAGAGAATAACTCAATTT